TCATACCACGGTGTACTGCCCGCCCGATATATACCGGTTTGACAAGGGACCGATATAGGTGGTACATATCAGTCTATCGACATGCCTCATTGTATTGTGTGTCGGTATATCGGTATGTACTGTACTGATGACCGATCAGTACATCAGTACGGATCGGTAAACCGAACCATGAGTTTCATAATCTAAATAATATTTCAATTGTGTGCATCCAAGTCCACTTTGTGTCTTAGCTTGATTAAATTGTAAGAAAATAAAAAGGGCTAACTGTGATGCAATCTATCATACATCCAAACAATCTAAATTTTTGAGAGTTACATTTTTTAGAAAAATAAAAGAACAAATAATAGTGTACTATATCAAAAATATTAAAGCACCCATAACTATAAAAAGGAAAATAAGAAATATCGCAGATCTTATATCTTCATTCAATGTGAAGGTAAAATTGGATACCCTTTTGTTGCCTAAATACAGAACTATTTTGTGAATCAATATTAAAATCCATGCCAAAATTAACATAAAACATCACTATCTCGAATATTATGCATTAGCAATAGAACTTGTAATAAGTATATCTATATTATTAACCCATAAATCAACACTAGTATAGCTTAACTTTCCTATATTGTAGGCAAGGTTGACCAATTCCTCTAATTTTAATTATTGACTGTCATAAACTCATTATGTATAAAGATAATGCATCCAAAGCCTCCTTGAAGCACACCAATCCTGACGCAAGTACATACGAAAGTCAAGCATGGTCTCTATCACAAGAACCTCAAATCCATTAGTCAACCACCCACTGTACTGAGTGATTTTGTGTTTAATTCTATGATAGTCTATACCCAATACAACTTTACTAAGGACAAGAAGGGATTGGCAAAGGCATGCCCTTCATGTGAGAGCAAATGATTAACTAATATGTTACCTTCTTGGGATTTTATTCCACTTTAAACCAAATTGTAAAGAATTTGCAAATAAAATATATACTTTCCAATTAACTATTGTAGGCATTATTTTACTTCAATGGAAGGATACTAAATATGAGAGGACTAAAATTTAACCTCACACTGATACAAATAAAGCATGCCAGGTACAATAAACTTCTAATCTTCAAAATCCTATCAACAAATATAAACATATAAGCAGTGTTAAACACCACTTGATGACCCTTAAGGCAAAATAACTAAGTACCCTATTTGACTCAATAAAACCAGCAACTGAGCTTCTATAAAAACATCAAAGACTTCCATGATTTACCAAAAAATAAAACATGATCATACAACTTAGGAACCCAGAAATGATTTCTAACATTCCCAAAAATAGAGGGTAAAAGATATTACTTCTTAAAAAAATGGATAATTTCTCTTCAGAACAGTATAATCAGTAGACTCAAAACACTCAAGGGAACAAAATGGTTCATGAGTATACCGTCTACTAATCACATCTTACTTTGTCAACAATATACAGACATAGGCCATGGATGCATGCCCATGAAGTGCACGTCATGCCTCGATGGGCACAACAAAGTGCTTTAATCATAGAAAAATGTGAAAACGTTCACAAGTGTTACAGTGAACATTATTTGGTGCTTTTTGTTAGTAGCACATATGCGTTTGAAAAAATGTACCAACTCCATTCTGTGGCAGCCACAAGCCACTAAGCATGCATGGAGCACTTAGTTTGACTCTAATATTTAATTAATAAGTGAGCAAGCTACCAATAATCTAGAGATGCAAACAAAATTATGACCACAGTTATTGCCGATTATAAGAAAAAGGAATAGTTATCAGTAAAGCCAGTCCTTTGGACAAATTTATGGTCCTAGTTAAGGTTGACAAGGATTGCAATGAACTAATGGCAGGTAAAGCAACATAAGTACCTGAAGATTGTTCAGCTTGCTCCAAGAATCTTTCAACACGAATTGTATGTATAACTGAAACATTAGAAAATCCTGTCCACTCTAAATTGGGTTGCAGCACTTCAGAGACAACCCAAGGATCCATCTCAACGAAGTGTACCTGGGAAAAGAAGCAAATTGGCGGTTTGCAATAAATAACACATAAAACGATGAAGAAGAATAGAACAAGGAGACGGCTTATATTGGCAAGATATTAATTTTCATTAAACAATGAGCCACCAATCAAGGATAACCAACTTGGTAAATCCAAACAAACAGAAACCGACTATTTTGTCTACCAGATCATAAGGGTTGCCAGCAAGATCACTTGTGAAACTCAGAAGCTGAAGCAGGTATGAAATGAGACGGACAGAAATACTTGAAACTAATATACAAATAAAGTTTCTAACTTAAAAAACACCTCTGAACATCCACGGCTTATAGCTTCAATTCCAACAGATCCAGTTCCACTATACAAGTCCAACCAGCGTCCTGGCCTTAGCGAAGCAGGACAGCCACCAGCCACCTAAAAGCCATAGAAACTATTGAAACCAATCTCATTATTGGAGATATATATATATATATATATATATATATATATATATATATATATATATATATATATATATATATATATATATTATGGTATGCTAAGGATGCTGAAGATTATAATTGTGACATTTTCAAATACAAATAAATTGCAATTTTAAATAACACCAACTAAGTTCTGCAGATCTCATCCATACCTGTAAAATATCAAAGGCTGCTCCTCTGACAACTTCCATCATAGGTCGGACATCCATACCTTTAGGCGAAAGCAACTTCTTCCTGCGAGCTTTTCCTCCTAACACCTAGGCAAAAAACAGAAAAAACAAAATCCATTTCTTAATTAACAAAGCCATGACAATATGAGAAATAAACTTGAAATTGAACAAATAAACCATCCTGTATTTTCTCAATCTCCAAAAATGAAGAAGCATCAAAAGGATATGGTTCATGATAAATAATTATGAAGTTACCTGAAACATAGCAGTTGCAGAAAAGGGAACTGTAGTCATAAACTAAATCATACTAATATGAGAAACAAGTGAGGAGGCAAATTTCTGGAAGGATTACTGAACGAATGTTGTACCCAAGTTGGAAGTTTCAAATTACAAGTAAATTAAACCCATAGAGTCATCCCAGGGCCTCATCCTGTAAGATGCATGATGTGGCCATGATTCAAACTTCAAAGTTAACAACTGGGAATGAATGACACAAGACCATGATGTTCCTAAAGAACTAATTAAAAAATGGTTCTACCTGGTCAAGATTTTTTCTTTTAGGAATGTGATTTTGTAATGATATACAGTTTATAAAAGTTGCTCTCAAGAATGCACAAACTGAATTTTTCCTTCTACTTATCAAGTATGATTAATTTATGCATTTTAATCATTTTAACAGGAAACCTCTTTATGGTTCCCTATTTGCTCAAGCCCTATGGTAGAGGTTGATACCTAAACCAGCCATCTAATTGGTTAAGTGTTGCTACACTTTGCAAGGAACACAGCTATGTTAAAATGGCATGTATATTCAATAGTTGTTATACAATGGTCTTGTGATTGCTATATACTACTTTTGCCAAGATTTTCAGGATCTAGGTCAGAGTTGAGATCTGGATTGCCACTATGTTAAGATTGGATCTGAACTACCTAGCTATTACTTAGACCAACTGATTAATAAACCTGGACCTATACAGAGTTTTAAAACATTTCAAAACTCAAACCAACTTAAATGAATCCTAATCTACACTTGGATGGCATCAATCATTTAGTTGAACATGATGTATGCAAACAATCACCTAAACAGTAAAAAAGTTCACAAAAGTTCTCCTCAAAAGTAGTTTTATCACAACATTGCTTACGTGATGCTGCACAAAACCAATTATGACAATCCGGGTATCCTAGTTCCAGTAAATAAGTAGAACAATAGTAAATTAGACCTTAACCCATTTAATTAATAATGCTTTTATTATAATCAAATGTGTACAGGAATTTTTTATTGGTCCATTTTCCCTCACTTTTATCTTTTAGAATCATGAACCCATGTTTTCCTCCATTTTCACAGACTAGAAACGCACAAAATAACTAATTTCCCAAAAAAGGAAAATCACCATAATTTACAGAAATTTTGGAAATATAGAAAAAAGCAAGGAAAGAAGACCATCATATATATATATATGCACCCCAGAAAGGCAGGTTCATCGCCCCACGAGACTCATTAAAGGATCCAAGTATCTAGAAGATGTTCCAGTAGGAAAGATGAACATCTCAATAGATTTGGGAGGATGAATGACCTAAAAGGAAAAATAAATAAAAAAAGGTATAATGCCTTCTATAAAAAATGCAAATGTATTTATATTAAATATGGGGATGGAAACATCAAGAAAAAAATTATGCACTCAAACATGAGCTGCTTTCCCCTTTGCACAAAAAGACCAGCACGGAAGCATTCATGTTCACATTTTTTTTCCAGAAAAAAGGAAACTATATTAACAGCATTCATGTTCACTTATCAATGTCTGGGAGATATGACAATCATCAATATGGGGTAGCACATTAGCTGAAGGTATTTCCACTATTTCCCTAACTTCGTTATTAGCCTTAAAAGTTAGAATCATGCGATAAGATAGCTGAGATTATATTGTGGACTGATCCTTGGCCTAGGGACTACTATTGTCGAAAAGCATGAAATCTCTCGATAATGGTGCACAAAGTAGCCTGAAGCTAGGGAAAACAGCTGCCACTTCAAAGCTAGTTTGTACCCATGTGCACAATGTAAAACACAGTAAGAACTTCCCACGGGGAGTACCTGAAGCAGCCTATGGGTAGTCCGCGGCGGCGGCTTCGGCTCGTCAAGTGGCAGGGGCATGCGCTTCCCCTTCCCAGCCCTGTTTTCTTCATCCCTCCTCCTCCTCCTCAGCTACGGCGTGCATTGATGATTCAACCAAATACAACAAAGATTGAAGAATTACACAAGGGAGTAAATACAGTAAATGAGAAAAGAGGAAGAATAAATCGAACCTTGTGGGCAGATAGGGAGATGCAGTCCGACGGGTCGAGGCCGTGGCTCTCCAGTATTTCCTGCTTCCGCTCCAACTCACGCCCGTAGACCGGCCTAGCATCTGCGCCACGCCACGAAACATTCCAACAAATAGGCCCGGGTTAGTCGGTTGAGTAATTCGTGTAGAGAGTGGTGAAGGAAGAAGATTATTCATACTGGAGGAGGAGGAGAGGATGAGAAGGGAAGTGCGGCGGCGGTGAGGGTCGGCATTGGGGAAGCCGAAGAGGGGAAAGAGGGCGGCGGGGAGGGATGAAGGGCTTGCGGAAGTACGAAGATGACGCTGTTGACGGTGATGAAGGGAGGAGAACGGAGGAGAAGGAGAGAGGGCAGAGGACGCCATCAGCGGCAGCGACGCCCAATTATGCTCGGGTTGAGGGGAGGGAAGGGGAAGAGCCAACCCATGAAACAGATCATATAAATATCTTGCATAAATATTATCGGACGTCTCAAATCCGCACCAACACGAATACCGGCCCTGTTATTGGAGAGGCACGGCAGCTATTTGTTCGATCGCACGTGGGTGCCCACAGGTAATCTAATCAACAGTCAGGTACACGGCTCTTTGGCGATTAAAATGCAAAAGATTGATACTCGAGAGTGTTCCCACTAATCTACCTGCCTTAATGATTGGTAATAACGATGGTTGTTTGGCGAGTCCCGCAGTCCCGTCCCAAATAGAATCCGACGGATGTTCGTATCATTATACCCCTTTAGAAGCCGCCTATGTTAAGCTAATTAATTTTTTGAAATCTAAATAAAAGGGGAACGATCATATTCTCACAGTGTTGTTAAATGGTTCTTCTGGTAATGGTCAGCCTAGACGATGAACATTTAATTTTATATTATAATATTTATATAAATATAGTTATCTTAAATGTCATCGATTTTATTTATATATTTATCTTAAAACAACGATACTATAGGTGGTGGCAGACCAACGACACTATCGATTTTATTTTAAATGTCAACGTCCTAATTATATTTTCGATGATGACGGACAACGATACTTTAGGCGATTATTGTGGATGAGAAGAGAAGACAAATTGAGTGGATGAAGAAGATGACATAGATGTCAACACTTTACGTTTGTGTCAATACCGATGTAGATGTCAAGCAGCCCTTTCGTAACTCTGCATCTACGTCGATGCCGACACAAATGTAGAACGTTAAAATTATCTTTCTACTCATCGTTTTTGTGTTTTCGTAAGTAAAATCGACGAAATTAAGATAAATAAAATTATATATTTTACTTTCTTAACTATAAAGATTTTAATATAATTTTTTTAAACCTAAGAATCAGGTGCTAACAAAGTTTGATCACTTGGGATAATATATAATTAGTTTTTGAAAAAATGACTTAAATTTTACAGAATTAACAAACCTATTTACACTTTAAATAATATGCATTGAAAAGTGCACATACGATTTGCAAATCATGTAATTTTATCCTAATTGATTCTTGATTAAAGATTTGACATTAGAGCATCCAAATCTTATACCTACGATCAAAATCTAAATATCTTATATAAAAATCTCACTTAAAAAAACATACTTTTTCACACATGATTGAAGCGGAGATGGCAATGGCCATGGCAATGATATAAGAAGAGCTAACGATGGAATCAAGTCAGCAGACACATGTCAAATCAGGTGATATATCGTGTGAAGAATGTGTTGGATAAAACTTATATCTAGTCGAACACTCCAATGATACACAAATAATTTCCTCTTCTACATGTAGACTGGGTTAGCATCTGTTTGGCAGAAAAAAAAATGCACAGCCTTCTTCTTTCAAGGTCAAGTAGAATTATTTTGGCAATCTGAAGTCGTCCAATCTAGTCCAACAAATCCCATTCAATGATTCTGTACAAGATAGCCAATTCAAGCGTGAGCCACAGAAAGACAATGATTATAAGAGCTTGGTTCTCTGACTTCTTATTCCTGTTGATTTGAATCTTTCTGCAGTTACCTCAGTTTAGTTGGAAATGCTTCACAAAATAACACTGGTTCTTTGCAAAAGTGTGTTCCTCTAAATCTTCCTGCCAACAATGGTTAGTCTAATTTTTAAGATCCATCATCCTACATATCATTCATTAGCTAAAAACCTACTCCTGTCAAGCGAGGAAATTGGTACAATTAATCTCCTAAGATTCCTTTTTCTTTTCTTTTTGAATAACCTCATCCTGTACATGTTTAGAACCCTTTGAGCCCTACTTAATCCATATTGGCCACCACAACTTACTGTACACAATCATTCCTAAACACAGACAATCAAGCAAAGACTGCTAATTTAGTTCTAGATGAAAATAGAGGGACTTGATGGTTGAAGGCTGATAATTTGGTTTCGACCTCACGATAGCAGCCAAATTCTTCAGATTGACATGAATAGGAGGGTGCTTCACAATCCTACTAAAAGATGTCAGATATTGATCTTAGGACAGTAATAACAGATGGTAGACAGAGACATGCCTTGCTTCAGATTGGGACTGCTGCACTTGTTTGATCACCGCAGAAGATTCCAGCGAGAGTCCGGTCTCTGCTGGCTACTCGGATTGAATACATGACAGATCACAGGCAAAAAAAAAAAACAAAAAGGGATGACTGGCTGCTGAAGCAGAAAGGAAAAAGAGAAGAAAAGTTGAGCAACAAGGATTGAGGGATAAGGAGGAACCCTTGGCCAGAAAAGAAAATTACATTGGTGGACAGGAGGTCCTGTGATTAGGACTCTTTATGTCAAGAAACACAAAGACAAATCAAATCAAACTTTTCAACTACTTCAACGAACCGATTAGCAAATCCTAATCAATTAAGACCTTTTCCTAAAGGCCAGTGTCCAGATTCAGCAATATTGGAACATCTTTTATCCCAATTCCTCCCTCCTTTTCCAGTGTGCACAGCAAACTGCTGCTTGTTTCTTACCTATCAAAATTTTCTGAGAACTGACCAGGATTTGACTCGAAACAATTCCCACTCGAATAAGACATTTACCTAAACATCATGGTATTCAGATTCAACATGTTGGAACATCTTTTATTCCCTCCTTCGCCAGGGTGATCAACAGACTGCTCCTTGTTTCTTCACTAACAAAAATTTCCCACCAAACCCAAGTGACTAGACTTTGACACAAATCAAATCCTACTTTTACCTGAACATCACGTTCCAGATTCAACATATTGGAACATCTTTTATTCCAGTTATTCCCTCCATTTCCAGGTTGCACAATAAACTTCTGGTTGTTCCTTACCTGGAAAAAATTTTTCAAGCAACCTGAACTGACTAGAATTTGACTCAAATCAAATCTCATTCAAAATAAGACTTTTACCTAAACATCATGGTGTCCAGATTCAACATATTGGAACATCTTTTATTCAAATTTCTCTCTTCTTTTCCAGGGTGCACAGCAGACTGCTGCTTGTTTCTTCTCTAACAAAAAATTTCCATGCAGTCCTATCTTGACATTAAAAAATCAGTCCCAATACTTGGAGATATCAGATCTGTAGGTTGAATAATTGTGCTCGTAGATATGGGATAAATCCTCATGTTTACATCAATGACATGCATAAAATGACACCGAAAATATAAATGATTTAGAACTTTAGAAAAGGGATGGATGGAAATATTCAAACACTTCGAAAGCATGCTATGTCACTCCATTGCTAAGGGTGTTTTGATGGTTAACGAAAACCTAGGTACTTAGAGGAACAAACATAATAATCTAATATTGATTCCCTGTGAACAACACCTATAACAAGGAAAAAAGAACATTGATAAATTTTGATCTTTAAGATGCAAAAACTGTTTGCCAGATAGCTCTCTACTTAATCAGCCTTCTAAAAGAAACAAAGACAGAGAATAGGTGAGGATATGAACACATGCAAACTTGACAAAATTTCCTCTTCTATTAATGATAGCCAGCAATCAACCACTGCTATCATAACCCTCAAGTGCCTTGTCTGTTGAAATAATCATCTGGAACATGAGATTCTGAATCATGTCTCTGTTGGGTGCAGACATACAGTTGCAGTAATCTTTGGTTTGAAACTTATAATCAAATCATGTGCTTAAACTATAAGCAGGTTCCTTATTTGTCAGTTCCCAAAAGAGAAGTCAGTTCCTAGGGTCACAACAATCAACAAAATACACCTCACTGCAACTCATCAAAACTATTACTATAACCTGATTAATTCATATTGACCCTAAAAACCCATTCAACCACATGCAGGCCAAGTTCATCAGCAATTAATGACAATCATGCATTAGATAGACCTCAACCTATAATGATTTTATTGGAACTTCTTATTATGCTGATATTACTTGACCACAATTTTATTTATACCGTAAGAAACACACCCTAAATTAAAGAAATTAAAGAACATAGCAGGTTAGTTAATAGGATCATCCTTCTTGTGGTGTACTCCTGTTGGCAAGTAAACCAGTAAAAATCATCTGCTAAGGTATCATCCATGTAGAATTCATCAGGAACTTTCGGCACCAAACATAATGTTGTAATATCATTGGGTAGAACGATATCTTGGTTCATAGCAGTACAATATCTTGAAGCAGTACATGTTTACAGTGAGATAACAAGTTCCACTAACAAGATTACAAAGTAACCAAAATAAATCAAGAGTTTCCTCTTGAATTGACATATATATAGGAGACATTTAACATGTATGTTAAAGCTGAGCAATATATTTATTTTAGCATACATGTTGCCTATTACATGTAAAAACTCAATTTCTGAACTGAAAGTAAAGCTTGTATTCAGAAAAGAAATGGAAAGGGTAAACAATGCCCAGATTCTACACAGAAAAGATATATGCAAAAAATCTGATATCATCATAACAATCACAACCCAATTATGGATTTGATTTGGCTAACAAGAGCATCACAATTCAAGATTTTAAAAAAAATTATCATGCAAACATAATATTTTCAATAACCATGTAATTCTGAAATTTAGTGTACTCGGATGTCTGTCACCATGCAGTTAAGTAATACAGATATTTCAGATAAATCAAACATATAAACCACCATTCTACACTATTCAATCCCGAACAGTGTCCTGCATAGCCACCAGATACCAGCAAAAGAGTAATAAAAAGATGTAAAAGAATGATTGCGTTGTATCCATGCAAGGGGAAATGAAACATCAGAGATTTCTAGGGCCCCTATGAGCCATGAGATGCACTATTAAACCACAGGAGATTTACGAGTAAAAAAGCATATTTTTAATTGACTATGAGAGTTTCTGACACATTGAAATGAACGATGGGCAAAATTACAGCACACACCACGAACAGATGGATCATGGTTATACTGGTATTAAGCACAGATATATTTCAGTTGCTAATAAAGCAAGCAAGCAAGCAATTTAAGAGACTATTTTGATTCAGTCAAGAAGAGGATCGAAAGCGAGAGAAAGGGGCAACTTTTCCTTGCCCGACTTCTATTCTGAGCGGCTGGCGAACCTCTCCACCTTAGCGTCGCTCAGATTGATCCCCACCATGGCCTCTCCCAGGCCGCAGCTCACCTCCGCCAGGATCTCTGGGTCGCTGTAATGGGTGACTGCCTGGACAATAGCCCTGGCCCTGCGCGCCGGATCACCGCTCTTGAAGATGCCGGAGCCGACGAACACGCCATCGCAGCCGAGCTGCATCATGAGGGCCGCGTCGGCGGGGGTGGCGACCCCACCGGCGGCGAAGTGGACGACAGGGAGCCTGCCGAGCTGCTTGGTCTGCATGACAAGGTCATAGGGGGCAGCGATGCGCTTGGCGAAGGTAAAGACCTCATCGTCGTCCATGTTGCGGAGGGCGCGGATGTCGCCCATGACGGAGCGGACGTGGCGGACGGCCTCGATGATGTTGCCGGTTCCGGCCTCACCCTTGGTGCGGATCATGGCGGCGCCCTCACGGATGCGGCGGAGGGCCTCGCCCAGGTCGCGGCAGCCGCACACGAATGGCACCCGGAAGTTGTGCTTGTTGATGTGGTTCTGCTCATCGGCCGGTGTGAGGACCTCGCTCTCGTCCACGTAGTCGACCCCGATGGCCTCCAGGATCTGCGCCTCCACGAAGTGGCCGATGCGGGCCTTGGCCATGACGGGGATCGTGACGGCGCGCTTGATCTCCTTGATGAGGCCAGGGTCGGACATGCGGGCGACGCCGCCTTGGGCGCGGATGTCCGCAGGGACACGCTCGAGCGCCATGACGGCACAGGCGCCCGCCTCCTCGGCAACGCGGGCCTGCTCGGGCGTGACCACGTCCATGATGACCCCGCCACGCAGCATCTGCGCCAGCCCCACCTTCACGGAGAAGGTGGACGACTTTTTCGGCTCCGTCAGGGCTGCGCCGTTGCCGTAGACCATCACGACGCCGCTGTCCGACATGCTCGACGAAATGCTCTTCTCTCTCTCTCTCTCCCTCTCCCTCTCTCTCTCTTCCGACGATAGTAGCGGTGAACTAAACGTAGTCTGGAAGCTTCCCTTCTCTAATCTCGATGCCAATCTCAAGTGTAGAGAGACGAGAGTGGGCGGTGGGGGGTATTTGTACGCGGCGGAGTAAAGCATACAAACAGCGATCGGTCCTAAATGCGCCACGTGGTCACTTCACGGCTGTTCGATTTTTTCTTTTATTTTGAGAGGATAAAGGAATTCAAAGCTGCATACTGTGGCTTATTTTTAATGAAAAATCACATATAAAAAAAATAACTCTGTGAATCACACAATTTTATTAATTTTAGGAAAGGATAAAAGGAAAAAAATAATTCCTACCTCTTATTTTGGGTTGGCTATTCTAAGGCCACCAAAGTATTTGACTACCTTTTGACCACTATAAAATTTTATACTCTCATATCCTCACTCCATTAATTATCTTTTCCAAATATCAAAATTATATATATTTTTTAAACTACCAAGAAATATTAGATAAATGTTTGAGGCAAGTAAAGTTTTTAAGTTCAAGTATGTTGACTTATAATCTGATATAAATAAAAAGTTGAAATCAAGTGAATATACAATAAAAATTTTATTCGAATTTATAGCATAGTTAATTGTTATTTCTGCAAGGTTATTAAATATTGACATATGATTTTTTTTCCAAAAAATTATTTTCTAAAAAATAATAAATTTGTATATCTCTAATAATCTTAGCTTTGATCCCGATCGTAAAAATAAATCATGCAATGTTCTGAGACCAAATTCTGTCTTGATTTATCATTTGTAAAAAATGAAAAATCTTGCATGAATCTCGTATGCCTCCTCATTACACAACAATTGGTAAATAAAATAAAATCAAAGAGAAAAAAAAATATTACGGATATGGGAAATTTTATGTTTTCCTGTAAATATTGCAACACAATAATCTATAAAGCACTAACAAAACACTACATTTGGTTCATAGGCTAAATTCCTTTCAGCTAGTTTCAGATGTGATCCAGTTGGGGAACAGCAAGTATTTGATGATTCCATAAATATTACAATATCAATTTCTCAGGTCCTTTAATGAAATTATTTGTATTTATATACATCATAATACTAATTCATGGATCTCTCAATTCAACAAATAAGACAATCAAATCATTTCTTTTGGCTATTTCTAAAATTTGATACATTCTGTACCTTGCCAAAGAACCAATCAGATATCATCTAGCCAAATTAAATTCTATTATTATAACCCCATCATTTATGGGTTCATAAAAAATTAAACTATTTAAACCGAGATCACAAGCATATACATAAAAAAATTACACTACTCTTAATACGAAATGAATATGCATTTGGTTTGTAGTTTTCATTCCCTTCAACTATACATTGTACCGGATTCAGATAGACAGTACAAGATTATCTTCTGATACTTTTAACGAAACAACATTTCCTATAGAAAACATGTCAGATTAGACAAACTATCAAATGAGAAGAAGGCTCAGACCAGATGTAGCATAACAAAAGTTGAAAATCGATAATAGCAATAAGCTATGAAGTATGAAGCACTGACAGAAACCGGGATTTGGTTCATAGGCTTTATTCCCTTCAATTAGTGACCATTGGCATGATCCTGGACCCGAAACACCATATATCTGTGCAAATACCTATTTTTATTCTTTGAATAAGATCAGGATCCACTTCTCCATCGAGGCTCGTATGAGCTTTGAACTCACATAAATTGAATGAGTTGATCAATTACTAGATCACTTTGATGAGAAAATGTTCTCCAAATCCTTATACAACCCTCTTAACTTCAGCTTGCCGTCCCCCTTT